TGTAGATAAATTGACCGAAATGCATGTGTTGACCCAAGCTTTAAAAATTCTCAGATACATGTCATGGTTGGTTTGTTGCTTTGGGAAAGGTAGCACCTGTCTTTAACCATTAAATGGCAGGAAAATATTTTATGGATGTTCATGCCAAATAGGTTAAAAAAAAAACAACTTTTTTTTTATAATGACAATTTTTAAGTTTTTCATTTTAATTATATACAAAACTTTAGCAGTGTAATTTTAAATCTTTTTAGATTCTGAAAATAAATAAAAAAGGGAATAAAAAGAAATGTCAGGTTCCATTTTTTTTAACTCAAGGATAATTCTTGAAGTATTTTTTACACAATGGAGCTTTACATTTTTTTTTTTTTTTTTTGCCATTTTGCTCATTACGAAGTATTGTAAGCGTTCTGAAAGCAAAGGAAGTATTTGACAAAGATTAATTACACAACGCAGAGAACAAATCACTAAGTTCAGACTCAAATATCAGGAGCAGAAAAAAATGCCGAAAACTCAATTTGCAGGTACTATCTCACAAATCACAATGCACGTAACCAGTCAGAAAAATAACTCACTATCCAACAAATGCGGTAGCTAAAATACACCAATTTTCATCCCCAATTCCAGAACACTAACTGCTTTTATCGGCCCAGCATTTTTTCTATTTGTCGACAACTGGGAGAAGACGCCCAATTTTTGCATATCAAAATACTTTTACAGCAACTCCTGCGACGGACTTGTTTTTTAATTTATATATTCCGTCTTCAGCATGTCATGCGGAATACATGCCCTTTTTTTTTTTTGGTAAGTAATTTTCTTTTTCGACACATTTCCCATCATAGGATACACGCGACGTGCTGTCGCTTGGTTTGACAAGGTAAGTCACCATTTTCTTCGCTATAGGTATGCATGCAGACATAGTACTGGCTTCAAGGAAATTATGTAACCTCAGTAATCTCAGAATTTCCAATGAATCATTTAGACAAATTATGAATCAATAATGTCTATTGTTGGAAAGGCATAAATCATCAATTGATAATATCCGGTAACCACCAATGAAACAACATTGGAACGATATGCTAAATACATCTTTAAAGTGAGCAGCTTACCAAGATTCTTTAGAATGATGGTAAAATATTGATCAGATTTCTTGTAAAGACTTTCACAGACCCCCAACTCTGAAATCTCATTTTACTCATTCTGCTTCTTTAGTAAATGAGGTTCATTAATTGAATTTACATTTGTATTTCTTAAGAGAAGAAACAGAAGTGGCTACTCTGTTTCTGCTATCATTGAAATCAACAATTAGCTACAAAGAAACTGCAAATGTTGATATGTGTATTTTCTATGTAGAAGTGAGTAATTCCTGTTTATTCAATTTCCTATTTGTTTCTTGGAATCTATTGAGCCAAGCCAAACAGGAAATTCCCAAGGATATTGAGGAGGAATTAACATGAATACTGATTTGGTTTTATGATACATTAACTTGTATAGATATTTACTAAGCTTTGATTAGTTTGGCACAAGGCTATGTTAGGGAGGATCAAATTTGTTTCACTAACAAAGGTCTCAAAATGATTTTGCTAACCATTGGTCTAAAGAAAATGTTCTCTCAGATGTTCTTATTTATAAAGAACATCATTTTGTAATGTTAACTTTTCTTCATCTTTTTAAATATTAATTTTTGCTTAGTTTTTTTTTATATATATATAGATCCATATTAAATTGCTTTTAACTTTCCTTCATATCACAAGAAAAAAAAATACTCTCCTTTGAAGAGTGAACTTCAGTTTTATGCATTTTTTAAGCATGCACTGTTAAAAACAAGACATTTTGGGTCTATTATATTTAATGATTTTTTTTTCTAATGTACCAATATCTTTCACAACTGATTGTTGTGTGTAGATAAATTGACCAAAATGCATGTTGTGTTGACCCAAGCTTTAAACATTAACAAGTATGTGTCATGATTTGTTTGTTGATTAAGGCTTATCAATCCTTTGCATATATATATATATATATATATATATATATATATATATATACATAAAACAGAGGATGTCTGTGTGTCTGTCTGTGTGATACCTTTTCACTCAAGATCCATCCAACCGATTTTGACCAAACTTGGCGCATATATTGTAGATAGGTTTCTTAGCGTAAAAAATCAATAATTTTAAAAAAATCTCTAATTGATAAAGCCAATCAAAAATCAATAAATTCAACTTTTTCCTCCAATTTCTTTCAAACTTTGTATGTAGATTACTTACATCATGACAAGCACAACGATACTTCATTTTTTATTTCTATGCCACTGTAGCAAAAAAACAAAAAAAGAAAAATTGATTTCAACAAATGTTTTAAACCAAAATCTCTCTTAATTTTCAAGCAATCTAATACAAACTTCACTAAATTGTAACCAACAATAAGTTGATTATTTAACAGTCATTTAACTTGATAATTGATTCCACCCATATAGTGAAAACCCGTGTAAATAGCGAAAAATGACGATTTTTACTGGTTTCTTTCTTATTTTTTGTTGATCTTTCAACCAATTTTCATCAAACTTAACAATTGCTTTATAAATGTATCCTCTTTTACATCTTTTACATCCCTGGTAGCACATTGACAAATTGATTTTCAAAAACTCCAAAATAATTGTGGTCTGGAGTGGGTCTTCATGTTGCCTGTTTTACCTCTTCATGTCCTCGGCTAACTTTGATTGAACAAATACAGACTACTTCTGTTATATCAGTAACTGCATTTAATTCAAAATGTTTTTTAATGAAAGTACTTTAAAGTAATTGAAGAAGATAGTCACTGTTACATCTAAACATGATGCTGTTTTTGCTCCATTCTAATTGAACGCTTTTTCTGATCAACCAGCTGGGTATGGCTGCTAGTTTAAACTAAAACATATTTTCAATTAAGAATATTTCTTTTCTCAAGCAAATATTGCCTCTTCTATTTTATGCATTAACTTTACTATTTTCATGCCTTTCCCTTGTGTGTAAGTCGATACATCTCATGATTTTATTGAAATAGCCACATAACTTTATTCTGTTAGGATCATTAAATTTTTCATTCAAAAAGATTCACTTTTCATTGTGATAGCTACCGTATTAATATGCACTTCTTTAAAAATGCTGTCAAAATTGACATTTTTGTGCATTGATTCTAATATTTCAAACAAAAGAAAATAAACAACATTTTTGGTATTTTAGGCTTCTTATATTAAGAAGCAGAAAAATGGGACAAATTCAGAATTTATGAAGAAAGTATTGCAAATAATCAAAAGTGGCTGTCAAATTTCTTGCTTGGGATTTCTCAAATTGAGAAATTATATGAAATCTATATATAAATTATATGACGGGGTTGACAACCTCCGGCATGTGTGCCACATGTGGCATGCCAAGCAGCTTCCAATGGCACGCAGTCATAAATGACATCATGAAGTCCAAACCAATAACTACTACAACGTAAAGAAGATATTTAGCTGTTTCAATTTTAATATATACTAAAGTAAATATACTATATATTACTATATAAAATATATTGTAGAACAGGTATATTGACTTTGACTTGTATAAAAATACATATACTGTTGGCACACGGAATGATTTTAAAACCCTAAGTCGGCACATAGCAAAAGGTTGCTGACCCCTGTTATATGATATCAGAAGATAATGAACACATTCAAAATGGCCAAATCAAATACTGAAAATCATTTGTACGAAACTCATGTTTGTTACTTTTACATAAGCAAAAATTTAAAAACAAAATACCTACTGGATCATATTTTCCGATTCACAATTGAAACAAAATCATTAGTATTATGTCTCTGATTCTTCCTTAACTTTTTTCCCATACTTTTCGGGATTTTTTTATGTGATTAATAAATTATGAAAAATTACGAATATATAAAAAAAAATAGACTATAGTGCTTCAGTTTTGATATTCCAAATTTGAGCAGAGATTTTAAAAAATGCTTGAATAGTTGAGGACAAATATAGCCATTACTTAAATTCCAATGTTGCCCATCTGCCTTCATGATATACGAGGTCTGATCAAAAAGTATATCAGGATTGTTGCTATTGTAATGGAGCAAAAGATATGCAGAGTGAACCCACAGACTGACCTTGAACTCTGTTGCTCATACACACTAAGTTATAATGTTCATATTCACTTCCATTGTTTACAGCATTGCTTGGAAGGAAAGTGTGTAGAGTGTGGTTGTCTCACCAAATCACAAAGGTTCTATCAGTGACAATGGCTTGTGGGGCAGTTTTTGGCTAAGGATAACATTCACCAGGTTTGACAACCACCATATTCCCAAGATCTCACCCTAGTGACTTTTTCCTCTTCAAAAATCAAATCCTACTTAAAAGGAACAAGATTTCAAGACATCGAAGAAATCCAAGCGAATACAGTGAGGTAGCTTCTCACTATAACCAAAAAAGGAGTTCCAGATATGCTTCCATCAATGCAAACATTACTGGATAAAGTCTGTGGCTTCAGAAAGGGACTACTTCAAAGGAGATTAAATACTGAATTGATATGTACTGTAGTTTTCTTTTTATAACACCAGTCCCAATACATCAAATATACAAGAGATATTGTCATGATATTTATAGAGGTTAAGTTTTGATCAGACCATGTAGAAAAAAGATTGTTCAAGATTTTTTCATATTCAAAATTTTTTGCTTAGATTGATTGAAGATAAAATAACAGCAATTTGTCTTGGAGTTTTGGCAGATTACATTGCTGGAATCTTACTTAACATTCCATCTGCTTTAGCCTTTTTATGATATTTTCAAATCCCATCCCAAACCTCAACATTGAGAAAATATTTGTAATTTCCTTACTTGTTGATTTTTCAAGTGCTCATGAATTCTATACTTTATTTTGGTTCTTTTGTGACATATTAATAATTCTAAAACCTTTTCTCTTTTTTTTCCCTTGCAACCGTTTTTTTTTTGTTATAGTTATAACAATTCTTTTCTAAGATCAAACATATTTCATTGTTCACAAATCCTTTTATAATATCACAACTTTTTCCTCTCTATCTCGTGTTTTCTCATACTTGGATGTCAACAACTGATTCTTTTCAACTTGACTTATTGATTTTATCTACTTATATATCATATTGCTAATAATGAACTTTAATTATAATTAATTTAGTATTCTAGATGTACTCATGAAGATTTATGTCAATTATAACTGAATTTCCATATTTGCAATGGAAACATTAGAAACCTTTATTAATTCTTTTGCTACTGTAGACATAATATATATATATATAAATATATATATATATATATATATATATATATATTTAAATTCTTTGAGGAACATAGGGCCACAAGATATCATTGTGGATTTTGTAACTAAGTGAGTGGGTTGCTCACCTACTGCACAACCCCCAACCTGGAGGGTCAGGTTTTGAATTCAGAGTTGTCCTTCTCCTAGACCAGTTGCCACCCAAGGCTATAGAACCCAGTCTGTCTTGCTATTTACCCATAGCTGGGAGGGAAAGAACAGGATTCATACCTTTCCCAACAGTATTAGCATGTCAGTGAATATAATGGATTTAACTGGAATTTGAACCTGGCTCTCTGATTTCTCAATCTGAGCCACTATCCATTACTCCATTGTACCTTCCTCAGACATATTTATACATTTTTACAAAACTTACATTGCCTGCAGTTAATATATACATACATACACACACACACACACACACACACACACACTGAAAACATTTTTAGATGTCTTTATGAAACTTACATTGCCTGTTAATGACATATATATATATATATATATATATATATATATATATATGTTTTCAAGATACCATGGAATCTTTGTCCAAATCATTTGTTATTAACTAAATGGCACTTTGTGCAATTTAGAAACCAGTGTCAGTAGAAAGTAATGTTTTGTAATGCATTTTCCTTGTTTTGTGGGTCGTTTAACTTAGTCTGTACTGCAAAGTATCCAAGTGAAATAAAAAATCAGTAATCATGAGTAATTGCTTTCAGTGTCTTTATAATCATTTATTTCCAGTAAATGGCAATTTCATGTTTTTCCTAGAAGGGAACCAGCACAGCCAGGCAACAATGCAATATAACAAAGTAGCAGTGTAGTTATAGTGAAATTATAATGAGTCAAACACTATCATGATTTAATAAATAAAACACGAAAAAATAGTTTTTAAAAAGTACCTTTTAGAAAACAGCTATCTTGGACCAAATCTTCCTCAGAAGAGAACACAAAGAAATGTGTCTATAGTCTATTGTATGCAGTTTTGACAGATGATAATGAACAACAGAAAACTGTAATCCAGGGACAATGGTAGGAACAATGAAATCAGGCATGGCTGATCTTATGTGTAGAATATGGTTATCACCAGAGTAGAAATATTAAGAATAATAAAACTGGATGATAAGGCAATTGAAACAATCAGTGCATATGCTATGTTCTAATAATCTTTCCAGTTAGGTTCATTTCTATTGTAAAAGTCATATATTTTAATTCAGTTGAAGAAACAAACAAGTGACATCAGCTTTAAAGCTCTAAGTAATAAAGTCTACTTAACCAATATTCTTATTCAGCAGGCTATATATCCAATATTGGATATATAGCCTGCTGAATAAGAATGTTGGCTTAAGCAGATTTTGTTAGCTGATGATTGTAAATTCATTCCCAGTGTTGAGTAGTGTAAAATATCAGATACATTCTTGTTTAGTGAAAGAGATGAATGATAAATTGAAGAATTAAGTGATTTGAAATTTCCTCTTAACATAGCCAGTGGAATGAGAAAAGGCTATCTTTGTGGAGTAAAGAAAGCGCTTGGTTTGAAATTCCCAGAAGATTATACATGAATGAAAGCTAGATGATATGTCAGCCAAAGTGCAATAATAACAACCAAGATGAGGATATTTGGCCAGCAAATCAGTGTACAAGATTTTTTTATTCTTTTGTTTTTGTTTTCCAGCTTTGCAAATGATTGGACAATTATTATGATTGTTTTCTTACAGGTTTTCTGATTCACACTGATTCAGACATTCTGATATGGAATGTTTACAGAAATTTCAATTTATTATTAAAGAGTCATTAATTTATATTGAAACAACATTTTACATTTAATTACAAATCAATATATGAATTGACTTCCTGTGATTTATTTTATTTTTTGATGATTTTTTTATTTTCCTTCTAATTATCCTTTATCAGCATATGCAAATACTTTTCAAATGTAATCATTAAATAGAAAAATTAGTATTATTGCATTTTAGTTTAACTTCAGTAAAGTATCATTTTATAGTATTAATAGCTTTTAAATTTTAATTAAATATTATAGTAATTATAGCAATTTAATTTTAAAAAGTCTGTTATCAAAAATAATTTGCATTTAGATTAATTTTTCTATCAACCTTTTTGATATGAAAATTTGAATTCTATATTGTTTGTTCTTAGTATTCTTTTTCTGGTTAATATTTTTTGAGGACTGATTTTGAAAAAAGCAATTAATATTTTTGGTTGAACAAAAATGAATAAAAACAGCATAAGTTATGTCCATTTTCAATTTTAAATTTAATTATGCTCATGGTCAGTCCAAATAAAATGGCTTCACATTTGATGAAGAACCAAGTGAAATAATATTAAAAAAAACAAAACTGTTAATAAGGAAGCAGATTGTAGTATAATAGGCATATCACAAAAAGAAAGAAAAATGGATATTATCTAAACATTAGGAAGGAAATACCCATCAATACTGGAAAGAGTGAAAGCAGCTACTTGACGTGAAAAATCTATTTTCCTGAAAAATTATTTTAAGAGAAAGATTTTATAAATTTCAACAGAAAGCAGTACTGACTGCTCAGTCAATGAATGCCAAATGTTTCCTTGTAGGGAAACGGCAAATATTAAAATTACCATTACATTATTATAAATAACGTAAAAAAATTGACCCACAGCCTCTAGTTATTCTATAATTCGGTTTCTTTTACTTTTGACAATGTTAAGTAGATAATTGAAAGTTACTTTGTGGATTTCTATTCAAGAACCAAAAAAATCCGTTTTGTTAAATTTTTAATATTGCTTTACAAATAGTTTTGTCCATGCTTTAAATATTGCTGCCACATCTGGTCTGGTGCTCCTGCTATGTATTTAGAGATTCTTGATAAAATCTAAAGAAGAATCTTCAATGTTATTGGTCCTGACCTGACATTTTGACTTTAGTTACTTTCTCATCACCATAATGTAGCTTCCCTGTGTCTTTTTATAAATACTGTCATAGTAATTGTTCTGATGAACTTTCCTATGTGGTACTTAGACTTTATGAATTTAAGCATAGTATTAGATTTGCAGCAATGTCACATCATTTTACAGTTGAAATGGCTAGATGATACCGTAACTTCTATGCTAACAGTTTCTTTTCTCGCACTTCTCACTTGTGGAACTCTTTTTTGGCTTCTTGTTTCCCAGTCAACTTTGAATTTCAAAAATTTAAATGTAATGTCAATCGTTATCTTCTGTCTTCTTCATTCTTATTCTTTTATTATTCTCTCTCCTTAATATTTTTTTCTCATATTCTTTCACACTCAGTAACCTCCTTGTGTCTTAGTGGTTTTATTGCTTTGCTTGGGGTGAAATGATTTGAAAAAAATATTGTTTGAGTTGCTTTAAACAAAATTTAGATTCTAAGAGCAGTGAAGGATATAGATACCTTGAGTCTGGTGCTTTAAACTGCTTGGCCATCATGGTGGAGTAATGGATAGTGGCTCAAATTGAGGAATCAGAGAGCCAAGTTCAAATTCCAGTGGAATCCATTACATTCACTTATGTGCTAATACCCTTGGGAAAGGTATAAATTCTGCCCCCACCCCAGTTATGGGTAAATAGCAGTACAAACTGGGTTCTATAGGCTTGGATGGCAACTGGTCTACCACAGACAGAAATGGCAACCTACTGTGGGAAAAAAATCTGCCTTATCAGTCATGTATCGAAAGATACATGATCGCCTAAGCATGTATCACGGCACATAACTGACTGAGATCAATGAAAATATACTAAATTGAAACTTCAGGATTAAAATGAAGTAGCATTTGAATTGGTACGAAGCTAATATAATAATCCTAATTTGACAGATGAGTACTGCCAATTAACTTGGTATCATTTAAATGATCGAGTATGTCACCCCGATTTTCTTAGATCGTCGGATTAATCAAGCACTGAAATTATTGGGAAAGACGACACAGAATTAAGGGAGGTAATGTTAAATATTAAGAAATTACTTCCCTTGCATTTTCTTGAATTTGATGGAATTCATTGACATTTACCTCAAAAACAATTATTTTACACGTTTAAAATGTCAACAATTATAACGTAAAGTTGACAATGTTTAAGTATATATATATATATATATATATATAAATTTTATATTGCTATCATTCACATAGGCAAAAATTATGTGCATGGAGAAGCTATATAAATTATTGAATTTAAAAACGTGAATAATTTCAAACTTTTGGCAGAAGACTGATGTATCCCTTTTAAAAAACGTGAAATGCTACAAAGAAACAGTAATCTGCTTTGAAAAATTGCTAAGTGTGAAGTAAATGAATAAATACAACATTCTTTTGTTGTGTGTGTGTGTATGTTTATATATATATATAATTATTATTTATAAAAAAATTATAACATAAGTATGTTATAAAATCACTACAAAAATAGCCATTTTGTTTCAACACACTCTGTGTTTTATCAAGTGATGATGTTGAAAATAAAATAAATGGTTTTAAAAGTTTCAGATTAATTAACGATCCTACACTAGGGGGAAACATTGTTACAAAAGCTAGAATAACCAATCAAAAACCAAGTATAGAAAGATTCAAAAGCTTGACAACGAAATCATGTTATAATAGCTATTCAGATCTTTAAAATACGTGTAATATTAAAAATAATTTATACTAACCAATAATTATAAAATTATATGATAAAATTTAATATTAAAATTAAAAACTGGCAATTTTAAAATCCAAATTTAATCACTATTAAGTTTAAAAACTACAAAATTATTGAGAAAAGAAAAAATAT